ATCGCGCGCGGCAATACTTTTTAAATGACTCTTAGCCGCGTGCGACCACGCGACAGAACCGCGTATGGGCTTTGAGTCATTTAAAAACATCAAAAGTATTGCCGCGCGCGATCAGTCGCGCGTGGCATGTCGCGTGAGTGGGCTTTCCCTATCAAAGTAGCAAATATCGACTAATGTCATATAGAATGAGGTTTAAATACTGATATATTAACTCCTGCCAACGAAAGCATTTGTTTCACCCACCTACTTATGGTTTCTTTATTAACAATCGGGCACGGTGGTGTAGCGGTCTATCGCGCTTATATTCATTTATAGGCAAGTTTATGAGTCTGAGACTGCTGGGTTTCGAATCCCAGACCAGACCATGTGGATTTTTAATTAAATTGCATGGTTCGGTTTAGGATTTGATGTGTGGCGTATTAATAGAAATTCAATTTCTGTTGATATGACATGCAGATTAAAAAAATTCGCCATACATTACCGTCTCGATGATGGTGGGTGAGGTTTTCCGGGTTTTCCTCACCTGTAAGTCAAATGGCACCATCAATCATCTTTAAGTCGCCCCGGAGCGCCACGGCAAATAATAATAATAGCCGTCCCTTTTCCCGGACAAGCTTAGCTTTTGGGGTTAAAATTCACTCTTAAGGGGGTGAATTAGGGAGAGTATTATTATTATTATTATTATATTATTAATCAAATGGAGGGGGTGGGTGGCTCAGTGGTAGAGCCTCTGCATGTGGATCCAAGGGTCCCAGGTTTGAATCCCACCGTTGGCCGGAATTTTTTCATTTAATTTAATTATTTAAAATTAATTCTGATGCCTTGGTACGATTCCCAACTCGACCATTCACTGTTGGGTTGTAATTAACAGTGCTGTTCCTAAAGTGGCGCTGGGAAACAGTAACAAAGCTTACATAGAATACGAGGGGAAATAACCTTAGCAGTTGAAGCCGATGACACACACACACAAAAAAAAAACAATCAAATGAAGTTTTTTAACACCAAGGAAAATTAGGTCTTGATTGGGTGCTTTAAATTGTCTGGTCTTCTCAATATATGTCTTTAATGTCGTTGCAACACAAAGGCATGGTTTTTCCCTGAAGAAAGGTATGTGTAAAGTAGGCTGTTCTTTATTCAGCCCTGAAGTTTTAATTGGATCTGTTATGTCAATTTGAATATTGTCTTAATCTTCTCTTATACATAACTTAATGCGGGAAATAGTCTGGAGCCTACTATCTGTGATGAGTGCTAAGAGGGTTACTAATTTTTGTGATAGTTGCAAAAAAAGTTATCAGGCAAGCCTTCCAAATACGTAAATAATTATTGGTGATCCAATGTATGAGATTATCTCAGTTTTGCTGGTCTTAAACGTGACATACCTTTCATAAACCTCTTTACTGTCATATCTGATGTAAGATCGTTAAATATAAAAAGGTTCAGTGCTGATCTATGTGAATTTAATGCCCCGTACCTATATTTATGCTCTTGTGCAACTTTTAATAAAAACATTGGAACTACCCTGTTTGTTGTTTCATAAATCGGAATTTTCTCTTCTATGCAAAAGTTCCACCATAGTGTTTTACTGTTTAATAGTAGCGAATAAAGTCTCTAGGCTTCATACGGAATACCTCTTCTTATGAAGAAATCCCAGAGAGTCTGGCGGCCATCAGGGTAAGCTGATGAGCTAGAGGGTGCATTTTCCTAGAAGAACAGATTAACATATTAGGAGTTGGGTTTAAATATTTTTTCCCCAATTATTAACTTGGAAAAGGGCTGAGAGGTCCAATAAGGTACCACTAAAATGCCCTATGCCTTACGTTGGATTATCTTTTGTAAAACTCTTAAAATTAAATTAAATGGGGCAAATGCATAAAAGTTTAATTATAGCCTCAATTCAACGTAAATGCGTCCACAGCAAAAGATCCTGGATCCCTGTTCCAAGATACATATTTTATGCACTTTTTGGTAATTTGTGAGGCAAATAGATCCACTTCAGGGTAACCAAAGGATTGTATTATTAATTGAAAAGTCGCCATCGAATGGTAATTCGGTTTCAGTACTAATTAGTCGTGACTCGCTATCTGCTCTGTAGTTATCTTCAGAACTTATATAGGAACCAAATATCCAAATATTTCAACGTTCACACCACTGCCATATCTCCATTGTCAATGAGTTAGGTTGTGAATATTGGATGCTACCCATCCATTTAAAAAGGACATCACAGTTGGAAAGCTTATTTGCGAACCATTTCAGACCATAGAAAATGGCTCTCAATTCTAAAAAAAAAATTATATGAAAGTTTCTGTTCGAGTCACTCCAAAATCCGTGAGTTTTTTTTGTGCCACAGCAAGTCCCCTAGCCGGTCAAGGAGGCGTCAGTAAATAATTCGATTTTAAAACAATCCCTTCTAATATTAATGATTTTAAAATGTTTTGTTTCCACCAGGAAAATTATCTATGTAAATATATGGCACTAGACATAGTGGCATCAAAATTCATATTGTTTTGGTGAAGGAATAAAAACTTTTGTATACAATCAGCCATATTTGATGGATGAACAAGCTGAAACTAAAGTTTCAATAAACTTTGCAAATTCGCGTATTTTACAAATTGATTTATTTTTAAATTATAAAGACCATTTTCATTGTATTAGAATCAAATATGAATCCCAAAAATATTTGGGACGTACTAGGAATTAAACAACTCTTTTCTGTGTTTATTGTGAAACCCAGTGACTCTAAGAGATGTACGAGCAAGACTGTGAGACTGTGGGCAAAGGTCAAAGGATTCACCAAAGACGAGAAAATCGTCTAAATAATTAATAATCGCATAAAACACCCTTTTGGCGCAAGTAACTAACTATCGGTTTCATTAGTTTAGTGAAACAAAATGGTGCCGATGAAAGCCCTAAAGGAATGCAAGTAAACTTATAAAGTGAATTCTTAAATCTGAACCTCAAATATTTGCAAAAATTTGAATGGACAGAGACTGAAAAATAGGCGTCTTTTAAATTTTCTGAATATCTTTGTCTGCTAAAAATACTGAAAAAATAAATTGATCATCAGCTGGCTTGCATCTCTTGATGACCGCTTGAGTCAAAAGTTCCACAACGGCTTGATCTACTAAAGCAGCTTCGCTAGCTGAAAAGTTTTTGTGGACCATTCGAAGGAAATGGCTTTTTATAGAAAGGAATTTTGTACCCACATATCCAAGATAAAACTGTTGGACTATGGGTCACGATTTTCCAAGCCTCTTTAAAATATTGTAAGCAACCTGCAAAAACTTTAAACTTACTCACCTCTAATCTTTTTTGTGGATTGAATATTTCCCCATATGAGAAGGTCGTCCTTTTTGTGGCCGCACCTTCCTACTTTGATAAGCCGAGCCTCTCCTGTTTAACTGCCCACTCGTTGCAGTATCTGGCTTGCCCGTCCCTCCTACCTATTTTCTAAAAAGTTTGAGGGGTAGTTTATATTGAGTGCGATTATATTCAGGAGAAAGACTTGGCCGAATATCTTTTTCCCCTCTTTCCTTTGCTTCTAATGCTTAAATTTGTTCACCCAAGTCTAAGCCGAATAAAAATTCTCCCGGAGGAACATTTTCTAATAGATTTTTTATCTGCTTATTCATTAGAGGAAAAATAAATTGTCACCACTCATTCGACTTCTCATTCACAATTGTACACAACATGCGTCTAGAATCTACAATATATACAAGGTTTTCTTTAACTTGCTTCGGAATGCTAGGATAACATTTATCGCACGTGCTGAAACCTTACCGATCTGATTTTGATAACTTAAATATTTGTCGTCTCTAGCTGTATGAAGCACATTCATACTTGCACAAGTTTCAGGATTTATTATAGGAGGAGTTAAGAGTTTACAATTCTCTGGTATTTCATATTTTTTAAAAAGTCGGTCTTTTTCTTTCGAAGGGAAACCAAAAGTTGGGATATGCGACCATATTGACTCAATAGCAGCATGTAGATTAAATCCATATTTTTTCTGCTTACTAGGATCGGGTCCTACAATATTTCTTGTCTCTTTAGAAATCCCAGTGTCATCATGAATAATTAGAATTGCCGAAGCATCAACATTAATATTTTCCAAAACCATCTCTTGATCCGGCTCTACCTCCTCAGCCGACGCCGTATTACTCGGTCGAAGGCTGTCAGGGCTTTTCGAACTACAGTATGTGTGAGCTCGACTGTAAAGAGAGACAGCGACGCTAGAACTACGATTTTGATGCAATTCACGCTCATAAATGAATCGGCTTTAGTCGAAAGTCGGCCTTCAAATTGTTTGGATCGAGAACAATATCTGGACATGCTTCTGTGTGAATTCGGGTCACTCGTAGCGCGAGCTTCACGCCCACGAAAATCATGCCTATATCTTTCTCTCTCTTTTTTGAGTTTATCTAGCTTCTTTCTTAGATCTCTATATTCCTTATTTCTTAACAGTCGCCTTTTAGACGATCTGCTACGAGACCTACTTCTTCTACCCTTCTTTCAGAGTACCTAATCCTAAGAATTAAGTACAATGCTTCTCAAAAGTCCCTTCCCCCCTCTTTTCTTTTGAACGGTGATACTTAGACTGATGAAATTTGGAAGGTGGAAATGAACTATTGTAAGCTTCTCTACTAGTGGTAACAGGTGACGTCACCATCGGTGACGTCACCAGGCAATTGAAACCAATTATATTAAAATAAACATCGTAAATAAAAAAAAAATAGTATGACTAAATAGGTATTCTAAATACCTTTCAAACGAGATGTCACTTGCCATAAAATCCCATTTAATATTATTGGTTTCAGTTGCCTGGTGATGTTACTGATGCCTATTACGTCACCTGTTACCACTAATAGACATTTTTACCCTCCAAATTTCATCAGTCTAAGTACCACCGTTCAAAAGAAAAGAGGGGGGGGACTTTTGAGAAGCACTGTATATAATAATGGTTTTAATACTTACAGTCGATCTGTTAAACACACAGTCACAAACAAAGCTATTTCAAAACGAATAGTAGAGTACCGATATACCGTAGAACACACAATTCGAGGTGGGAAAAGAGCTTTTTAGTCTTTCTTGTCTTGAAAGTAGGCAGGGGCGGATTACGTAGTGGTTTATATCATAAGGATATATTTCTATTAGACGCGAATATAATTGAGTACACGATCATGTAATACGTATATAAAGCTATCATTTGTCAAAAGTTGGGGTGGGGAGGCAAAGATTCTAGTTACGGCACTGTTATTAGGTCAATAATTTTTGAAATATGGCGCGTTTAGAGGTAAGGGACTGCAATTTCTGAATCTTAAATTTTTGAAAAGAAATTTAGATAACATACCTTCCTTTTTTATTTTTAACCGTTTTAATTTTATTTTAATGTAAGTTCTTTGATATTCATAAAACGTTTATTAAAAGATTCTTTTTAATAACGTAGATATTCGTATTTTAAAATCTGTGACGTGTGACCTTCATGAATGGTGATTAATATCAATACATGCGCATACCTCTTATACTAATACTTTTCAGTTGAAAACAAGTATCGAACGTGGAAATCCCTAAATATTGGTTGTGTTCGGGCTAGCACCGCTCAACCATTATCACATGGTGTGATCCATCAAGTGTCGCTAGTACGGAGAGTAGTGTAAAGAAACTAGTTAACTTTTAAAACGTTGTGACATTTTAAAGATGAATATATTCAGAGTTATTGGCGATTTTCTGCACATTTGCGCGATCATATTTTTGCCTATCAGTATTTTAAAAAACAAATCATATGCCGGTAAGTTGTTTAATTATTATGTTTCATTGTTTGTTAAATACCTATTTTAAATGTATGTACACCTGTTTTAATGCGCATATGTTTAATAAAATTTTAACTAGAAATTAATAGTTTTCATAGAATTAATTATTAAAAATAATAAAAATAAAATTTATAAATAAGATATAGGATGAATAATCGTCATGTAGGGAAAAGAAATATCCAACAGACATTATGTTTACCATAACTGATAGAGAGAAAAATCGACATTGGATAAGAACTAATCGTACTAGCATTCATTGACCTAAGGGCGGCTTTTGACTTAATACAAAGACAATTAATAGACAATTACATCAAAATTGTGGACTGCAGTGTGATACTAATTAAAATAGACAGAAGTGCTTATATCAGGTAATAAGGATAAAATGCTAAAAAAATGGATGGAAGAAGTAGCTAACCTAAAACTTCAATGTTGGGACGAGTAAAATATTTTACACAAATAAAAATAGATAACAACAATATAAGACTCTATTAACAAACAATCATAAGAAGAAGTAACCATAAAGAAATATACTAAGTAACATAGAAAGCAGAACTTCCAGTAAAAATAATTTTATTTCAATATTATTTTACAGATATATCAGGAGGGCCGTATTAAGTAAATTATTAAAGTTTCAATCCAATTTCTGAAATATAGACTAAGTTTATTCGATTTATGTTTAATAATGTGTTGCGCCATACACATTTAATAATGCATCTAGGCATACTTCTAATTAGATGATCAATATTCTCCTGGGGTATCTCATTTTATCAATCTCGTGTCGGAGCGCAACCAGATATTGAGAAGGTTGTAATATGTTTAGTATTCTACTGATCATATCCCACACGTGTTTAATTTTGAACAAATCAGGAAACCGTGGTGGCCATGGCAGGAAATTAATTTTGACGTGTTCAAAGTAATCTAAAGTTACACCTGCCACATGTGATCGGGCCTTGTCCTGTTGGAGAGTTGGGTTTTGGAGAGTCCTAAGGTATGGAAATAAATGTGTTTTTAGTCATTCTTAAATGTAATGCTGCGCTATGCTGCCTCTAATGAACTTTAAAGGTGTTCTAGAGCCGTAAACCTGAGACCCCACATTATAATCCCAACAGTACGATAAACATGACTCTTAACAAAAAATTGTGGATCACGCCATTGACCACATCGCCTTCTTACGCGTGCACTGGACATCGTTCCTGTTCCTACGCTAGTTGTTCTCATCGCCACTCAAATCGACTGTTTCAGTGTTCTTGGGTTAAAGGTAAGACCCAGTCAGGACGAAACTTCTTATTCGACGAAAAATTGTTCGAATTTCAATTCGTCTTATATTTTGCAATTGCCCTAATTATGGAGAAACGACCGCGCAAAGCAATCTTAGACAGCGTTCTTGAAGCGAACTCGTCCTGTGCCCCTGGCTCTTTTTCTTCAACCTTCTTCAAGCCATGCCTGACACCACAGTATCTAAATTTCTTTGCACTCTAGCAACAATATTGCCGTATGAAAGTCCAGCCTCCCTTAATCCAACTAATCGTTCCCATTCAAACTCGCTTAATAGGCTATTATTTCCATTTCTTCGCAATACGGGTATTATTAACACCTAAAAACGACGTTTACTGACAAGATCATTGACAATTCCATTAATTAAAAAAAAAAAAAAAATTGGATAAAAAAGAAATGCGAAAGTAATAATGTTAATTTTGGGGGTGGGTGGCTCAGTGGTAGAGTCTCTGCCTGTGGATGCAAGAGTCCCAGGTTTGAATCCCACCGTTGGCCGGATTTTTTTTATTTAATTTAATTATTTAAAATTAATTCTGATGCCTTGGTAGGATTCCCCACTCGACCATTCACTGTTGGGTTCTAATTAACAGTGTTGTTCCTAAAGTGGCGCAAGGAAACAGTAACAAGGCCTGTCTGTGGGGGTGTAGGAGTATTAGAGTACTAATACTCCTGCACTATGGAGTATTAGACTACTAGTACAATCCATAACCTACATAGAACACTAGGCTAATGACCTTAGATGTTGAAGCCGTACACCAAAGAAAAAAAATCAATTTTTTAATTATATGTTGTTTTTGTGATGATAAATTTGTATACAAAAAGTCTTTGGCAAATTATTTTTACTGGGTGTTCGGGTTTCTATGTACCTTGGTAGGTATACACTTTCCAAATATACCTACCAAAAAATGGGAAAAATAGACCTAAATAAAATAGTAATACCATAGTTTTTCCAATTCTATATGCAAGCCTAAATTGGAAAATACGATACTAACACTAATTGCAGCAGAAATAAAAACAATATTTTCGAAAGATACCAGGCAAAACCAAGCGGACCTTATCAGATCATATCAATAATTAGAGGAAAATTGAGATAATACAGCTAAAACAGTTTAACAACCATATCGTTACAAAGGATGGACAAAACTTTTTTTTCCATTAGAAAATACTCCATAGGAGCATTTCACTATATTTACAATCTGTTTACAGATGATCATTGAGTAATTTTATTCTAATTTAAATTCAATGTTAAGTTCATTGATGATTGACCACCAAATTTTCCAACTAAAGTGATATTTCAACAGATATTTTCCTTTTTGTTCAATGTTAAATGATCACCTCAAGCTAGTGTGGATGTCTCCAAATCCCACGTCCGCTTGTGCTGTCTTACTCTTAAAGTGTACTACCATTTTCTTACTATGCGCTGGATGCCATTCTCAAAAGGGAATGGTATATGTAGGTAGCAAATAAGAGTATATAATTGTGTAATGCATACTTTTATAAGATGTTATAATGGGTGTATAATATAAAATAATAATGAAAATTCCACACCTGTAATTTTGAACCAATCAAATTACGTGTTTTTGACAGATCACCAAGGCAACGTAGGTATTTTAGTGGAAATTTTTTTCTCGTGTGGTACCCAACATCGAATTATACTGGAAATTTTTTGACGTTTACAATAACAGACCATTTTTGACAGACTGGTTTCTATTTGTTCACATAATAGGTTTAGTTTTGATACATTTTAGTTACAATGCTAAGGTGTTTTCTATATTCTTCGGCCACTTCTTTTCTTCTAATGGCGAAAATGCAGGACTTTGGATGCTTTGAATTATGTGTCTATGTCTAATAAAATATATATAATATTTAGACACTAATTTATTCACCTTTTTCCCATTCAGCACTTTGAATTTTGCGTAGTTTAGGTGCAAATATTCGTGGACAATTCGGAACAAATTTTCGTTTTTCAAGTTGGAGCCACAATCCTCTATTAATCCGAGTAAGTAAGTCATGGTGCAATGATTGATCATTACATCAGACAATTTCACGCATATTTTGCATAGCGTATGATTTTCAAATCGATTCATTTTTAAACAAATAGGTAATTTTGTTGGTTTTACTTGCTGTGCAATATTCTTTATCGCAACAAAACGCGAGTTATTTAATGTTTTGAACTGTCAAAATACAATGATCACAGCCTCCTACGATTGATGCTTGCTGACGCTGGTTATGAATTTCATACCATTTTAAAGCGCTCATAACGCATGTTAAAAAAAACGCAGAAAAACAATTTTCTACCACTTGTAGTTATTCAAAACTTACGTAAAATTGAAGAATATACTATTTTCTATTTTCAAATGGTATTCCCATGCAACTACAATGAGTAGAAATAAGCAATTTGAAGGCCTAAATAATTGCAGCGAAACATTTTTTTACGTCGGGCCGCTTGACAACTTCAAAACTGAAATTATATTCGAGGTTAGGGTCTCACTTAGTTACCATGACAACTCAACAATCAAGGCGACAACACCTTTTATGTTTCACTGGTGACTTGGAGAAAATAATTTGCATTGTTGAGAAACGAAAAATAAATTTTAAAAATATTTAATTTTTAACCATAATTCGGCGTGGAATTTTCTTACCGAATACCACGCGAGGTCAAATTAATATCAGGACATTTTTTCTCGCTCATGAATATTTTTAGAAAATTTCCCTCGTCTGCGACTCGGGAAATTTTTAAAATATTCATGAGCTCGAAAAAATTTCCGGAAATAATTTGACCTCTAGTGGTATTACTAGTGAAAATTTATCATAATAATAAATAATGCCATAGTAACTTGTAACGTAGTAAACGTTACCAGGTTTATTCAAGGTAAGCTTAACCATTTATCTGCTGCCATAAAATGAAAATGTTACCACATACCTTCCCCTTCGCAATGATAGGGCCACCAATAAATTTTTGATTTTTTATTGAAGTTTGAATGCAAATATATGTTATGTGGGTACTTTGTAAATAAGAGAAATGCGCAATTAGCTTTCGATTTTTGGGACCGTGTTTCGATTATGCCGATTCGCCTCCTTATCTCTAGTCTTCATAGTTAGTACCAAAGTATCAAAACAAATGATAACCGCGGTTACACAATAATGATAATCGTTACCAGGGTTGCAATCAACTAGTTATAAAATAAAATAAAAAGTGAAAAATTTACAAAATTTGAATCATGTCAAGTTACTGTTCATATACAAATATCAATGAATAAATTAACAGCCCTTGCCAATATCAGACTCTCATGTAAATTAGTAAATATGTACTGTAACGTTCATTTTTGGCAGCTCAAATGATTAAAGGAAAAATTTGACTCACCTTGTTTAAATATACGGAAAAAAAAGTAAACCGTAATTTATTTTTTGATAAGCTTTTGAAGCCATTATTTTTGTCGTGAACTGGCTATATGTTCTGTTTAGCCTTCAAATATCATTATTATAATTTAATTAATTACATCACTGGACAGAGGTTTCATTTTTTGATCATATTTTCTGAGATACACATTTTTGTAGATTTTATCCCTTGTACAATATTGGTTTGCTTTAATTTGTTTAATTCTCCTAAAAATAGAAAGTTTCGTTGTGAATTTACTTATATATTATCTTATATATTAACTTTAGGTAATAAATTATCTTCGACACCAATTTCATCGAATTT